GTCATTATTACGAGAAAGTTTCTCATTATTACGAGAAAGTTTCTCATTATTAGGAGAAAATAAGTCATTATTACGAGAAAGTTTATCATTATTACAAGAAAATAAGTATATTACGAGAAAGTTTATCATTATTATGAGAAACTAAGTCATTATTACGAGAAAGTTTATCATTATTATGAGAAAATAAGTAATTATTACGAGAAAATAAGTCATTATTACGAGAAAGTTTATCATTATTATGAGAAATTAAGTCATTTTTTCAAGCCATTATTACGAGAAAGTTTCTCATTATTATGAGAAACGAAGTCATTATTACGAGAAAGTTTATCATTATTACGAGAAACTAAGTCATTATTACGAGAAAGTTTATCATTATTACGAGAAACTAAGTCATTATTAAGTGAAAGTTTCTCAATATAACGACTTACAGAATTATATTTTTTTATTCAGTGGCGGAAACGGGCTTCCATATGTTTCAGAACTTTCAGAGAACATTCAACAGTAGCATTCCTCTTAATGTTTGCTGGTGACTTCCATAGTATGGGGGGAAATAAATTCTATGGAAGTTAATGGCTACCAGCAACTCTTTGGTTACCAACATACTTCAAAGCATCTTCTTTTGTCTTCAACAGAAAAAAGGAATTCATACAAGTTTAGAACAAGATGAGGGTAAGTAAATGATGACAACATTTTCATTTTTGAATGAACTATCCCTTTAACATTCTCACAACCAAGAAAACACATTTTTAATACAGGATATTTTGAATATTTAGAGAACAATCAGAAGTAACGTTTCATAACATTCTTAGAACATGTCTTTAGGTTGGTTAGTCTCACTGTTGATGAAAAGGAATTCTGTAAAGTCAGATCCATTGTGAGTTTAATCTGTTGTGAATGTGAGTGTTCGATAATCACTGAGAAACCAGATGGTTTATTACAAATGAAATGTGATACAAAATCAGATAATACACAGGATGCAGGTAAAGCAAAGCGCATTACATTTTTTTTACACCAAAATAAAGCAAAGATGTGCCTTCGCCTTAGTTTTAATATACATATAGCTGCACCATTTACATGAAAGAATCAATTTATAGTCTACAAAGAATTTCCTTATCCATCTTCTAACTTGGAATATAGTCGAGTGGACTCTGTAGGACAGGAAGTGTCTTCAGAGGACAATTGATTTCCTGCACTGACTCACTGCACATGTAATTTAAGGATGCTTTCACCTCCGCGGACCTGTCACATGTTAAAGAATGAAGGCTTATGGGTTGTTTTAGTGGTGTAACAGGGCATTCAGGTGTCACCATCACATGATCTTGCTCAGGAACCCTGGGGAACTGCCACAATTGTGTGTCCTCGTGCTGCCGGTGTGTCTTCATGTGGGCATTTCGACTTTTCACCTTCAAAAACATCCTGTGAAATGAAGCAATCATGAATCAGACCGCAACCACTATGATTCATAACTGTATGAAGATGTTTCTGTGTTTGACTCAGTACGTGGCTTACTTTCCACACTCGGTGCAGGGAAAGACCACGGCTGAATCTGTGTCTCCGCTGGTGGTGCTGTTGGAGGGAGAACTTCTCACAGAAGCCGAACCCAAAGGCAGGGTCAGCGTGGACGCTCTGTTTTCGGCTGGAGAGCTACAGAGCAGCCGGAGATTATTCTGGGTCCATGTTTCTTCCTTCATCTGCTGTGAGAAACATGGTAATTTTACCCAGAAACAAATGTTCTGTAATTACTTACTAGTTAGTTACTTACTTAACACCGTAAATCTAACATCCATGCAACTCATGCACTATATTTCAAGTCTTCTGAGGTCTTATGATAGCTTGGTCTGGGTAACAGGCTAAAATTGTAATTTTAATGAATTCACCCTGGAAGATTATCTGTTGTATGGAGTACTTATTCGGTGCTTTTAACGAGTTTTTATTTTTAATGT